CTACTGCAATAGCATCCTCTGTGGACCTGTTGGTGCGATATGCAAACTGGTAGGGGTCAAAGTTCGGAGGGAGATAGTCCATGATGTGCTGGAGAATCAGTCTCTCGAAGCACTTCATGATTATCGGAGTGAGAGCCACCGGTCGGTAATCATTCAGGCTGGTGATGGTAGGCGTTTTGGGCACTGGGATGATGGTTGCAGATTTTAAGCAGGGAGGGATGACTGCCTGGGCCAGGGAGAGATTGAAAATTCTGGTGAAGGTGGGGGCGAGCTGGAGGTCACATGCTTTGAGCATCCTGCCAGGTACTCCATCTGGGCCAGTAGCTTTCCTGGGGTTCACTGATTGGAGCGAACGTCTAACATCATGCTCCCGTACAGTGAGTGGAGTGGTGCAGTAACCGGGTGGGTGTGGGAGCAGGGCAGGATCAGATGAGTGCTGCTGTGGTGCATCAAAGCGTGTAAAGAAGCAGTTTAGCTCCTCTGCTAGTGATGCACTCAGGTCTCCTGTTGTCACCTCACAGCCTCTGTAGTTAGTGATGTTTTTTATGCCCTTCCACACCTCCCCTGAGTTGTTGCTGGACAGATGGGACTCTATATTCCTTTTATGGTCAGCCTTTGCAGTTTTTATTCCCTTATTCAGGTTGGCTCGAGCAGCTCGGTACAGAGCTCTGTCACCTGATCTGAAGGCAGCGTCAACATGTATTCATGTTAGGAGGAGAGAAGTGCAGCGCTACATCTGTAGCATGTTATCTCAGCAGTAACTGTGACGCTGTGAGACGCTGCAGGTGTAAGAGACTCTGTGTGTTCAGGTGCATTAAAGTTGAAATGTCTTTAAAACTCCACACCTTATTGTTCTCAAGCTTCATGAGAAACATCATTTAGATGAGCAGTGTTGAACACAAGTAAAAAAAAGTCCAGTGGTGATGGTTTTTATTTCTCTATAAAGACAAATAGTGCCGACCTGACGTTCTTTTTCCACTTTTTTTACTTCCGATCTGATCCCAATACCTAAGTCTGAATATCGGCCGATACCGATCCAGTTCCGATATCATGATCATCATTGATTTTATATGAGGCTGTAATAATCTCCTCTCAAATACAATTTGTACAAATATATTCATGCATGCCCAAAAAGACAACTTGAGGTAAGTTTTATTAATGTTGGATAAGTTTTAAAGTTAGAATTAAATTCTGCTAACACAAAACAGGTTTCTTTTTATTCCTAGCTTTAAAGTGGATATTAAAGTGATTAATTTAAGTGATTGTTTAAAGTTGTTTTTTTAAATAAGGGGCAGATATAAGAATTATTTTTCTTCTTTCTGAACTCTTTTCATTCAATGTTTTCTGTTTGATTTTTTTTGTTTGTTTGTTTGTTTCTTTTAAATTAATGAATTAAATTAAATAAAATGTTAAATGGCTTCAAACACCTGCTAAGTTCATGACATAAACCAACAGACATGTTCCTGTTTTTAGTATTTTACATCACTTTATAATGTAGCTGTTTATGTTTTTAATATATATAATTTTCACATCACATGTTTTTAATGAGTGTCTCCTGTTGTCCTGATAAATATCTCTGCAGGGTAAACTATATCTTGGCTGCAAGTATCAAACTGTGAAATCCTTCGTTTTCTACAACTGATAGTGGTTGGTCATTAATTATGAAGTTTATCAACTTCTCTGTAAACATTAGAGCTCCGTGGTTTCAGCGACGTCTTCTTCTTGTTCAGTCCGAAGCAGGCAGTCTGATCTGGGTCAGCTGCTCTCAGTCTGTCCCTCCTCAGAGACGGGCAGACTGAGGGACAGAGTGGACGCTGCTGGCCGGGGTCGAGTCGCCTCTTTCCTGTTGAGCAAAGAGCAGCGCCCGCTGAAGCCACGGAGCTCGAATGTCCATCGTAAAACTAACTTTACCGTGTTTTAATGTGGCGCTGTGGCTCTGCAGACCGTGCACGTTGCTGTTTTGTGGTGTTTAGTGTAAAATACTTCCACACAGCGACATGTTTAGATGAAAAGTTTGTTAGCTGTTAGCCACATGTTGCTAACTCAGTCCTCACGTTGTAGCTGGCTGCAAACTATGAACTGGATTTCCTGAATGTGAGGCGGGTCTTATTACTCTGGGTTCATGAGACACGCCTCCATTCAGGAAATCCATTCCATAGTTTGAAGCCAACATGAATCATGGATCGGAAATATCCGATACGTAAATTATGCTGGTATCGGAGACCGATACCGATACTGGATCAGATCGTCCCCATCCCTAGTTTTATCCTTGTTTCAACCTTGTGTTAAAAAAACAAGGTTAAAACGAGGTTAACACAAGGTTGAGTTGCATATGACAAATAAACACAACTTGAACTTAATAATACAAAAACATAATGCAAGAACAGTACGCCTAACAACAGCAGCACGAACATGAGTTTGTGTGAGCAGGTGGGCATGGATTAAAATAACAGCCTGTCATAAACACAGCAGCATGAGATCAGATCAGCAGCATGGATAATCAGCAGCACATATCAACAGTCAAAGTGGCATTTACATGTATACAAGAAATCAAAGTGCAGCTTTTTGACCTGGTGAGGTAGTCTGAACAAAAATAATGTCCTGCATGCACGTGTCAGGTTAAATCTGAAATCAAACAGTGAAGTAGTTCCCTTCCTTCTGTTTGTGCTTTGTTCCCTATTTTTGTATTCATCATCATCATCATCACTGTCCTCATCTTTTCTTTGCAGCAGATTTTTCTTAATGAAAATCAGCTGATCCACATGCTCATGTTTGAGTAGACTGCGGTTTGTGGAAATATCTCCTGCAGTGCTGAAAACTCTCTCAGATGCCTCACTGGTGACCAGTATGCAGAGAAACCTTTTAGCCACAGATGACAGCAGTGGATGTCCTGTTGCTTTTTCCACCACTGTAGTGTTTGGTTTTTTTTCAGGGGCAAAGGATCACGCTCTCTGTACCTCTGGACTTCTTCACTGGCCTGGTCCCTCACAGATCTAGCCGCTGTCCTTACATGAAAGTCTTCTCCCATCAGCTGGTCCAGCGCTCACATGTTCTTCTTTTTACAAGGAGGTTTATCATCTGAAACAGAAACCAGTACCATCCATCACTGGCTGCGTTTGCCATGAAGTTTTTTTAACTGACTTTACCATTTTATGTATAAATCTTCATCTGATGTTCAGAATTTATTTATGTAAGGACTCGTGTACATATGTAAAATATGTATCATTATCATCATCATTATTATTTAACTCTTTCTTTGCGTGCAGATCCTCTTATTATAGTGAATGTGTTTTATACTGATACTATGACTGCAGCACAAGTTTAAGACAAAGTCTTCTCGTTCTTGATCACAAGTTATAAAACACACAAACCTTTATGCTCATCTTGGGTCTGGGGTCCATCAATGCAGACGTCCGGATCTCCATTTGCAGGTTCACTCTGACATGGATCAGTCTGCACTGGACCTCTCTGAACTGAACCCCCCGTTACCTAGAAATAAAACATGAAATAACATTTAGTGTACAGTATGGTTAAATGCAGTGTAAAGAATCAAATAAACAGTAGTCAGAATAAATCTAGTGACTGCAACAAAACACAGCAGACTGTAACTGATAGATGCACTAGGGGTGTAACGTACATGTGGGTGTATTGAACAGTTTTGTTACAGCACGTTCGGTTCGGTCCATGTGCGTACCGTTTTGGTTATTTTTTCACTCATTAAATTTTATTAACAAGAGATTATGCACCGCGGAACTAAAGTTCCTAAGCGTGTTTCAGCAGGGCGCTATTGTCTTGCAGCACGTGTAGCATTAGCAGCCTAAGCTGTGTCCCAATCTAACGGCTGCATCCTTCGAAGGCCGCATTTGAAGGCTGCATTTAAAGGCCACATTTAAAGGCTACATTTAAAGGCTGCATTTAAAGGCTACATTTAAA